TATTTCGAGGATGCGGAGCAGTGATCCCTCACAAGCGCGTACCCACTGGCCGCTGAGCTGGGTGATTTTTGCGACGATTTCCTTGGCTCCAACCGTCATGGCCAACTGCACCAACCGTGATTGGATCTCCATGCCTGCACGAGGCGGTTTAGCCAAGTCGTCCACGGTCTCCTGGCTCGTCCCCGCTCGCTTCCCTGATATATTACGGCTCAGGAACCATGCAGGTGGAAGCCTGGAGGTTGCGGCAGCCATGCAAGTAACACGGCTGACCATCGAAAATCGCTACCAGAGAGGACTTATGATCCTCTTCGAGTCGAGAAATAATAGGGGAGACCTCGAGAAAGAGCGTCACTTTCATTTCCGGCTCTCGAGAGCAGCGGGGGAGTGTAGTCCAGCTACAGCCATTCTCATGGATTTGCATCATTGTGTGATCTGTCCCTTGTTATGCCAACCACCAAAAAAAATTGTGAGTCAGGACACTGGACAGCCACCCTGTATCTCTTTTTTTTCCTAAAGGATTTCCGGAGGCTGGTGGTGTGCGCTTGGAATGTGCGACTGTGCCAGCACCAGCCACCGCGGACAGGCAGTCAACAGGTCACCGGGAGCCTTGCAGTATGCACCTCTACGGAGCAGTCTCCCCTCTCCCGCGTCGTAGAGTAAGCACCGTAATTTGTGCCATAGGGCTGCGAGACGTTGTCGGTGGTGCTCGTGGTGGTGCAGGCTGAGGCACACAGTCGCTTTAGCGCGCCGTGGAGGTCGAGTCCGCCCCTGGCTCCTGCCCGCCTGCCCCTAGACCTTCGCGGTCAACCGCCTTGCCAGTGTGAAACGCCGGCACAACGACCGGAGCGCACTGCTCATCCCCGTGTCCTGCTGCTGCACTTTTCATCTTAGGCTTCAGAGACTTCGATTTCCCTGCCGATTCTGCGGTCGTTCCTTTGGCAGCGACTCATGCTCCCCGGGTACCGCGATCGAGCTTCGTGAAGCTGCTCTGGGCAACGAGGATCGCTAGCAAACAGCCACCGTTGTCCCGTGGGCACAGCGCATCGCCAACGCAGCTGGTACCGGCCATCGCCCTCATCCTCATCCCCCCCTTCCGCCCTCTTGGATGAGATTCAATGCTTCTGTCCACAGCTCCGGTTGTGTGACTCTGTGCTAGATTGACCGGCGGTCGAGCCGTGCGTCCTTTCGCTCTGGTGTCGGAAAGGAATACGGTAGGATTGGGATCGATATTGGGACCGAGAACCAGAGCTGGGCTTATTTGGAGTTATTAGTTGGCTGAGGATTTCACTAACACCCACTTTCCACCCCTGTTACGACTGTCCGCGACCTCTCTTCTACGATGGCCTTTCTATTCAAGTCCAAAAAGAACCAGCAGGGTGCCGGGCTTCCGCCAGCCGCAAGAAATATCCATACGTCGGAGGGAACGATATCTGAAAAACCCCCGGGCCTCACCAATGGCGAAAAACAGCGAGAAGGAGGTGCCGTGCAGTCTCCTACTCCGAGCAGTAGCGTCAACAACTCTTTGAGTTCAGTGACCGGTACGAGTAGCCCTGATCCGGTCCGCATGCGACAAAGGGCGGAATCAGAATCGCAGGTTAGTCCGGAATCTATGGGCGCCAGTCCGACGACACTGACTCCCCTACTCCATTGAATCCTTTCGAGCCCTTTACCACGAAGAATGTTTGAATTGACATCTGTCTAACGCTAAGGTGAAGGCTCCACGACCACAGCCCTCCATGAATGGGAACTCCCCGACTACGAATCCCAACGCTTCCCTATATCCATGGTCACAACGGCGTTTGAACTTCCCCTCACCGCAAGCGAACCCATTCCCCCGCTATGGTGCCGCTGTCAATGCAGTCGCCTCGAAGGAGGGCGATATTTATATGATGGGCGGTCTCATAGACGGAACAACGGTAAAAGGTGACTTGTGGATGATCGAGAGTAGTGGAGGCAATCTTTCATGTTACCCCATCTCCACTGTGTCCGAAGGCCCAGGTCCCCGCGTGGGCCATGCGAGTCTTCTGGTGGGAAATGCCTTCATCGTGTTTGGTGGAGATACGAAGATCGAGGAACATGACACCTTGGATGATACCCTCTATTTGCTTAATACCTGTGAGTGGCCCCCTCATTCACAGTGCGAGACTCCCTGCTGACTCGTCATAGCGTCTCGACAATGGTCTCGTGCCATTCCTCCGGGACCTCGTCCCGCTGGACGATACGGGCATACTCTTAATATCCTTGGTTCCAAGATCTATATTTTTGGAGGTCAAGTGGAAGGCACTTTCTTTAATGATTTAATTGCATTCGACCTCAACAATCTCCAGAATCCCTCGAACAAATGGGAATTCCTCATCCGAAACAGCCACGAGGGAGGCCCGCCGGCTGGTCAGATACCTGCTGCACGAACCAACCATACCATGGTCAGCTTCAACGACAAGCTCTATTTGTACGCATTGCAAGACCCGCGCCTCTTTCTCTGTTCATAGATGCTGATGTTGTTCCAGATTCGGAGGTACGAACGGGATGCAATGGTTTAATGACGTCTGGTCATACGATCCGCGCACCAACCTTTGGACCCAACTCGATTGCACCGGCTTTATCCCCTCCCCTCGGGAGGGACACGCAGCTGCCCTTGTTGGTGATGTCATGTACATCTTTGGCGGTCGTACCGAGGAAGGCATGGATCTAGGAGATCTTGCTGCATTTCGCATCACAACGAGACGGTGGTATTCTTTCCATAACATGGGCCCTGCTCCTTCCCCAAGGTCTGGACACAGCATGACTGCATTTGGGAAACAAATTATCGTCATGGCCGGCGAGCCAAGCTCGGCGCCCAGGGATCCGGCAGAGCTCAGTCTGGTCTATGTCCTCGACACCGCTAAAATCCGCTATCCCAACGAGCCAGCCCTGGCATCTCAGAACGGGGAGAGGGTTCCAGGGGCGCGGAAGATGAGCGGGGACAAGTCCGCTCCGCCGACCGGTCGATCCTCGCGGGAAGCTCAACATCCGCCGGTCGATCAACCGCGACGAGGCCCTGCTCCTGCCCGCGAAAGCATGATGGCCTACCCAGGTGGCCGGCCGCCGGCGGAGTATGGCCCAAGTTCAGGCGCTTCGGGGTCACGGCTCCCGCGAGCCTCTATAGCTCAGGCCCCCTCTGGACCGCCGCCTCCTGGACAAGCTCCAACGCCAACTTCTCGAAACAATGGTCCACCTCCGGGGGGTTCGAGGAGCAGAACTCCCACGAAAACGGAGCGCGGTGTTGGCTCCCCGGTGGAGACGGGCCGATCAGTTGCGGCCGAAAGAGACATGCAATCACCACCACCTAAGGATTCTCCCAAAGATTCCAGACCTGCTACGGAACAGGGTTCTGCGGGCCGTCGGACCCCGACTCAACAGACATCTAAATTGGCTGCCAAGGCGATGGAGGCTGGCGAAGCAGCTCCCCTGATGAGCGGCCCGACACGCCAGCGATCTCTGCAGAAGCATCGTCAGAGGGCCTCCATGGATAGCACGGATGAGTCGGTCCTTGGGAGACAAAGCCTGGACGGCTCAGTCGAGTCACGGAGCCACCGGAACTCCCGAAATCTGGGAGACGAGCCCCGTTCTCCCAAGCTTACCGCTCAGCAGGAGGCCTTGATCAAGGAACTTGAAGCGGCGAAGACTCGAAATGCGTGGTATGCTTCTGAGCTTGCTCTCGCTCGAAAGGCGGGATACGTTCCAAACCCTTCGAACAGCCCAGCGCTGGATGAACGTGCTATTGAGGCATTTTCAGATGAGGATCGACCTATGATTGAGGCCTTCCTTGCCATGAGAGCTGAACTCGCGAAGATGCAGGCGACTGTGGACCGCCAGGCAGCCATTGCCTCCAAAAGAGTGGCCGAGGTGGAACACCAGCGCGATGTTGCTGTCAGCGAGGCAGCATACGCCCGCGCGAAGCTCGCTGCTCATGGGGGCAGCCAGCGAGGCTCCCCCCCACTGGACGGGTCTCGTGACGGCGAAGAGGCTCACTCGGAGAGAGTCTCGGACTTGAGTCGGAGGTTGGCTATGGCCTTGGCTGCACAGTCAGAGCTCAAGGCCAAGTTGGAGGTGATGTCCACCGACCTCGAGCAGGAAAAGCGTGCTCGAGAACTGGCAGAAGAGACAAACGAAGCGACGAGGAAGCGATTGGCCGAGCTGGAGATGCAGAACAACACACTGGAGTTGGAGAGCCTACGCGCCGAACTTCACCAACTCAAAGCAACCGTCAGGGAAGAGTCTTCACTTCGATCAGAAGCGGAGGCCAACTTCAAACAAGTCTGCCTTGACAAAGAAGAGTTGATGCATAAACTGGAGGAGGCCTCTTCTCGTCTCAAGGAACACGGCGGTAACCTAGGATCCCTCCGTGAAGCCGTGGCAGCTTCATCGGCGAAAGCTGCGCTGCTGGAGAAGCACCTTGAGGAAGAACGGGAACGTCGAGAAGGGCTTGAAAGGAAACTACTGCAGTTGCGAGCTGAACACGAAGAACGAACGGCGGAGCTTGAAACCGCTACTCGTCGGTTGAAAGATGCCGAGGAGCTTGCGGAGAGCAATGCCCGCGAAGCGGAAAGCCATAAGCTTGCGTTTCTGTCGGGTCTTGATCGGGCATCGTCGTTTGATTCGGACAGTTCTGTGCGGTCTATTGTAGATCAGCGCGTTGTCGCTTTACAATCTCAGGTCGAGAAAGCCAACAAGCTTGCCAAGGCCAACCAGACAGCTGCCGATGAGGCGGCCGACAAGTTGAGACGAGCGGAAGAACGCATCGCAGGTCTCGAAGCGTACCAGGAGCAAGTTAGCAGGGAAGGCCTTCAGCTTCGCCGACAGCTACAAGCAGCAATCAAAGAGAGCCAGGCGCTGGCTACGGAGAACAAAGAACTCAAGGCTCAGCTTGAGAATCAGCAACGCGAGACCAGTGCTTTGGCCATCCAGCACGGTGCGCTTAAGGATCTTCTGGGTGAGCGGGGAATCAACGTGTCAGAAAGCAGACGGTCACCATTGCTCGATTCACCTGGCTCTCGCTTCGGAACCCCTGAGCAGAATCGTCTTCGCGAACTGGAACAGCAGCTCCAAGCTAGCCTGAAGGCCCACGAGGAAACGAAGGCTGCATTTGAATCTCGCGAGCAGGAAGCGGACCGCGCCTACCGAGAGAAGTTAGAGCAGCTAGAGAACGATTACCAGTCGGCCGTGCATTATGTGAAAGGGACCGAGAAGATGTTGAAACGGATGAAGGACGAGTTGGCTAAATACAAAGCCCAGACCGCCAAGTTGCAGAACGAATTGGAGAATGCCCAGAAGAACGCTGGACAATCCTCTAGCCAAGCGTCGGCAGCGCCAGCTGAATGGGAATCGGAGCGTTCTGCTCTTCAGAAGTCGCTTTCCGAGCTTCAAGATCACATGAAATCCTCCGTTGCCAATCTTGAGGGTCAGATTGCGACGCTGAGAGAGGAGCTGGCCGCCACTCAAAAGGAACGCGACCAGTCTCGGTCTGAGTATGAGACGGCCAAACAAGAATTCGCTGCTGCCAGCGAGAAGAGCCGGGCCGAGCTAGAACAGCTGAAGCGGGAGAATTCCTTGCTGGAGTCCCGTGCACTGGATGCCGAGCAGAAAGTGACCATGCTCCTCGATCAAGTCGAGGCTTCTGTCGTGAACTATCGTCGCCAGTCGCAGCATGGACAAGGTGCCAATGGAATCTCACGCCCTCACAGTTCTGCATCAACCGTTACAATCGGACTCAGCGGCCGCCCTCGAGCGGACAGCAGCATCTCCCAGGACGACTCGTTCCTCAATAACCGCGGCTCTCTGGCGTTGGATTCTCTCGCCAATGAACTCGACGCACTGCGCAGCCAGTGGGAGAGCACCAACCGTAATTACCGGATGAGCAGCAACTTCGACTTCGATCGGACCCCAACCAAGGATAGTTCCGACGGCGGTGGTCTGAGTGAAAGCCTCGCCAACTGGAGACGTAGATTGGAGGAGGAGGAGGCGAGAGCCAGCAGCCCTACGGTTGGTGCATCCGAGCAAAAGAAGGCGTCGAACTCTGAGCGAGCTGCCATTGGTAATGCTAATGCCGGACACGATATGATATAAACCGTTTTTCGCTCCACCACGGGCAAGCTGGACGAGCCTCATCTCACCTATCAGGATTTTCCTGATCTCCGGTGCCATGGCCTTTTCTGGGTGGAGAACTTTCGCTGTTGTTTTTTTTTTCGCGTTCCGTGGATCTATGCTGCCTTACCTTTACTATATTATCACAAGGTTCCAGGGCTAGTTGTATTTTTTATGCGTGCTTCTGATTCCCCTTTGTCTTGAGATGCGTTATTCGAACTTGAATTTTCTTCTTTATGGGGTCTTTCCCCCATTTTTCTTACTGTTGTTTTCTTCATCTTGACCCTGGGCCTTGTACTATTATACGTTTTGCACGAAATCTCTCCTTGGGATGTCGAATCTATCAGCAGGGATGCAAACAGACTAGGGTTTCTTCATTGTTTTATTGTCATCTTTTTTTTTCTTATTCTTTCTCCCTCTTTTTTTTTCTCTTCCTTTTCCCCTCTTCTGGTGGTCTACATGTATTCCGTGTTGTACTGTTGACCTTTTTTGTGTAATGATGTTATTTTTTGTCCCCAGCCCTTTGTCAGGACCCTGATGAATGTGATGTGAGATGGAGTGTGCAGCAAGGACCCTATCTAACCTTCATTTTCCCAATCCTATATCCATTTGTATTCGCGGTGCCTTGGAGGTCATGTGACCGCGTTTTACCACACGTGTCTGCAATGCACCGAGCTGTATGAGTTTCTTAGGAGTCTTTTGGTCCTGCTGGACTTGGCTGCTTGAAACAAGCAGGCATATCTCGACAGTATATTATTTTCTGCAGGTGTGGATCCCAGTATAGAACTGTAATTCTCTTGCGTAAGGTTTCTTCGGAGCAGAAACCGTTTAGGTTGAAACTTGGAAGGCATCTGGGTGATAGTTCGGATCCCGGGGCCAGAGGCTAGCCCGAGGCCGAGAAAAAGTATTTTTGGAAGGTGGTTGGGTAATCAGGCCGAGGCCGATCACCGCCCGTCAAAAGTGCAGCTGGTCTAGGCTTCACGTTTTGCCGCCGCAGGCCAGAGACTCGAGAGACTGAGAGATAATATTCACCAGGCTATCAAGGGTCCAGGCCTAGCGCGTGGATTTTGTTTTCCTGGGTGCCTCTCTGTTGCCCAGGCTGAGAGCCCGACCTCACCCACAGAGGGCGCACCAAGTGTCAGATGGCCTCGCGGCACTAGTCTCTGCCGCCACAGGATCACAGTCTCACCCAGCCTCCGCAGAACAAGTCGCCGTGCAGGCACTGATCCTCGTTTTGTTTCTCCTGCATTCGTCTACGGCAGGCTGTTTAAGGAAAAGGGGAAAAAGAATCTTTGCTGGCAGCATAGAATTAGCCAGACGTGTCTAGCCTGGCTGGAGAATCAGATCGAATCACCACTATTGGCGGCGGGCGGAAGGGGGTGCATATGCGAGTGCGACAGATCAGAACGAAGCAGACAAAGGGCGCGGCTAGTTGATTGCAGCCCAATCCGTCCCCGACACCCTGCCCCTGTCCTCGTAGCTGAAGTCAGAGGGAGAGCATTATTAGCACCACCGTCACCGTCACATTGCGATCACTGTCATTGTCATTGTCATTATCATTATCATTGTAGCAGAATCAGTTACGGCTTTTTTGCCGTGTCCTGCAGGGGCTAATTCACTGTGGTGGTGTATTAATAGTAAGCCGGGGCTCGCTTCCACGCGCCCCTCGCGCGGCCGTTGCAGTCGCCCTCTCCCTGCCTACTAATTCCCGCCCGGGCTCGCCCTCACCGACTCCGATCTTAGCCTCTCCCTTTGCCTCCCAACCGCCTGTCTCGGGCCATCCGCCATTTCACTCTCCTCTCCTTCTTCCTCCCGTCACCTCCCCCCCCCTCGACTTCTAGGCTTTGCCCTGGGTCGTCTCTCTCTCTTTCTTTCGCTCAACTGTGCTTGCCAACTTCCTCTGCTCGTATCGCTGACTGTCTCTGCCGTCTTCGATCAATCCTCCAGACGGTCGGACTGCAGTCACGCCCCTCCCGTCTTATCCGCCACTGGGCTCTCATTTCCACCAGGTGCGTATGGACCATTCCTTTGTTTGTTCTCCCCTGTCAACGATTCACGGGCTCTCTTTGTGTTTCCCATCCATTGAAGGCCCTCTCTTTTCTGTGCCAGCCTGGGCTGCTGCTTCCTGTCGTGGGCTGGTTGACGCCTTTTAGCGCAGCTGCCCAAGGCTGTCCCCAGTGAGGCTGAGCGTCTGCTGATCTCAGTCGACTTCCCCTCTTCTCCAAACAACATCGTCTTTCAACCATCGCCATCCTGCCCGAGAACATCCTCCTTCGTCTCATTTCATCGGCTTCCCCACTGCTTTTGCTGTGATACTGACATCTTTGACCCGGATTCAGAATCTCACAATCGTCAAACGGTCTTGCACAGCTGCAAGCTGTGCCTAAACTCTAGCCAAGATGACGACAATGGTTAGTCCTCCTTCTTGTCCTCTTTCCACGGTCATGGAATCCGCCAGATACGGTGTCAGGGAGAATAATCCAGGCAACATTGCTGCTTGACCTCCCTGGTGGCTCCCGTCTCAGCGTTGTCGTGGATGTTCACTACGGGTGATATGGGATGGCTGACACCTGTCTGCAGGACCTTCGTGTCGGTAATAAATACCGAATCGCCGCAAGATTGGTAGCGGTAGCTTTGGTGACATCTATCTGGGTATGCATACCTCTTGTCTTTTCCCAGGTTCTCTGAAGTACTAACAGGTCCTGTACATAGGCACCAACATCATTTCTGGCGAGGAAATTGCCATCAAGCTGGAGAGTGTCAAGGCCAAGCACCCCCAGCTTGAGTATGAGGCTCGCGTTTACAAGTCCCTCGCCGGTGGTGTTGGCATTCCCTTTGTCCGCTGGTTCGGTACCGAATGTGACTACAATGCCATGGTGATCGATCTTCTCGGCCCCAGCTTGGAGGATCTGTTCAACTTCTGCAACCGCAAATTCTCGCTGAAGACGGTGCTGCTTCTTGCCGACCAACTGATCTCTCGTATTGAATACATCCATGCCAAGTCCTTCATCCACCGGGATATCAAGCCGGACAACTTCCTCATGGGCATTGGCAAGCGTGGTAACCAGGTCAACGTCATTGATTTTGGTCTAGCCAAGAAATACCGGGACCCCAAGACTCACTTCCACATCCCCTACCGTGAGAACAAGAACCTCACGGGTACTGCCCGTTATGCCAGTATCAACACTCACCTTGGTGTCGAACAGTCCCGCCGTGATGATATGGAATCCCTCGGCTATGTGATGCTGTACTTCTGCCGTGGTTCTCTGCCCTGGCAAGGTCTGAAGGCAGCCACCAAGAAGCAGAAGTACGACCGCATCATGGAGAAGAAGATGACCACCCCTACCGAGGTGCTCTGCCGGGGATTCCCCAATGAGTTCGCCATCTACCTGAACTACACCCGCTCCCTCCGCTTCGACGACAAGCCGGACTACTCTTACCTCCGCAAAATCTTCCGCGACCTCTTTGTTCGCGAGTCGTACCAGTACGACTACGTCTTCGACTGGACTGTCTACAAGTACCAGAAGAATGCAGCCATGATCGCGGATGCTGCCAATAATGGCAAGAAGGACAAGGAGACTGAGGAGGAGAAGCAGCAGCAGCAGCAGCAGCAACAGCAACAGCAGCAGCAACAGCAGCAGCAGCGCCGCGCTATCCAGGCTCCTCCCGCGATGGCCAACCCTGCCCCTGCTGCTAGCAAGCCCGGCGCCGTCTCTAGCCAGCGCCGGAAGGTCGTTGAACGGATCGTTGACCCCGCAGACACCAACCGCGCTGTTGGAGGGAGTGACAGGATGTGAGTATCTGCAATCTAGGTTCCGTGTAGGGGACCCCTCTTCTCCTCTCTGCGTTTGCTGCTTGAGTGACGCTGGGCGTGGAGGATGCTCGATTCAAGAATCTGACTAATCTCATAGTCTTCGGCGTTAGGCTTCGTTCTGCTTCAAAGGGTGCTGCTGCAGGTGCTTATGGATCTGCTGGTCACCGTTCGAAGCGGGATGATGGGACTGGTGCTCAATGGTATTGATTAATTTGCAGCATGGCGACTAGAAGCTTTTGACCCTTCTCTCGCTTTAGCCCGCCTTGCCATGTTGCTGTCCTCTCGACCTCGAAGCCCGGGACCATGCGGAACGGCCTCATGCAGCAAGACCTTCGGACCTTTTTCTTCTTTCTCTCTTGGACAACCCCTCGTCTCCTCCATCTCTTATGCAATCTGTCTTTAGCCTTGATCCATTTTTGTGTGTGTGTGTTTCGATCTTATTCGACGTGGGTCGTTTCGATGCGCCAGTTTCGGTCGTTCGTCTGTTTTGCATTACGACAACTCCTTTAATCTCTCAAATGGCGGTTACATCCGATGATATAGCACTGACTCAAGCATCGTCGACGTGATCAACGGATTTTCTGTTCAGTGCATGTCTTACGGACCGTCAGTTGATGCGCATATTTCGAAACACCTCCCCAACCGTGGCTATCAGAAGTCCTACGTCCTCGGCAAGTTTTACTGCTCCTTTGGGCATTGGGATCATATTCCGTCAACGGCCGGGGAAATGGGGCGGAGATGCGATGGAGTCGTCAGCCTGGGAAACCGACGCACGCCGTTTTTCTGTGCTTGCCGGCATCCCTGGCTGGGGGTTTCCGTGGATTAACCATTTTCCAACTGCGTTTCCTATTGCTTCCCCCTGCATCATGTTATCGTATTTCAGATCGCCATGCATTTCTTCTGCTGTCTGTGCTTTTTGTTGTTAATGTCTCGACGTGAAATGAAATGGACCAGGGGATGAATCTACTACTATGGCATGGGGCGGGTCCGGAATCGAGCTTTCTGGGTGGTTGGCTAGTGGGGAAAATTGCTTGCGTATTCGCTCCGTGGGAGAATATATCGTCGCCGACAAGAACACCAACCATCGGGGAGTACGGTTCCTGTCTCTCTTCTGCTTTGAGGGTATATGGCGGAGGACTATGGATAGGGTCGCGTCCGGGGTGGTATCACGTCGAGGCATTTGTTCTTTGTCTTTTTTTTTTCTGGGTTTGCTATGAGTCTCGTTTCTTGTCCTTCCCTTCTTGTCATTGATTAGTGTCCCAAGGGCAGGCTGGTCCCCGGGAGCAGGACACCCGTCCGGTGAACTGTCTCGATTGGTCAACGTTGCTCTCTGCTCCCGGTGTCTGCTTGCCCTCTTCCCCCATCCCCTCCTAGTTAGTCGTTTTCTTTCCCGATAAATGAAACGCAGCGTCTTAGTCTTTCCAAATGGGTTCTATTTGAATTGTAGTGGTTCGGTATGGCGTAGTTGCATCCGAGCTGAGCAGGTATCTTTCCTCGTAGGTTGGTTCAGATAAGAAGTCTGGAAGCATGTAGATTACCCTATCCCACGTGGCTTGAAACACGACTAAACAGTACATACCTACTGTAGAGTGGTCTCGATTGGGAATGCCATCCTGACTTAGGTAAGCCTGCTTTGGATCACGATGCATCTCATGGTGTGATATGGCAGAGAGGTCCAGGGGCATGTTCTAAAATCTGACTTTCATCGAAGATGTCTCCTCACAGGGGAAAGCGGGGAAGTCAAACAACAGAGCTGAGAATGGTTTCAAACCAAGGCATGGATGGCGTGGACATCGCATTCTTCCTATCTGCCTAGACCGCTCTAGATTTTCAGTCGAATCGAACTACATACAGTATCTTTTTAACGCTAGTCCATCAAATGTGGGAGATAGGCAGATCTTGTAACCTATATGTACCTATGGCTACTTGATCAACGACTCAATTGTTGTAGAGTACGGTTACTCCTGCGGGAATACGGGGGATACGGAGGCGTGCGTCATGGACACTGGGCGCAAGCAACGGCGGACGCTAAATCAGACTAATACAGGATGCTGCAATTAATCCATTTGGCACCCTGGACCGAGACTTTGCTGGCTTGAATGCCTCCTGGTCGGGCGCGGGCTGGCCTGGCCTATCGTTCTGCGGAGGAAGTTCAGCCTCAGTGAGTCGTTGATACCCTTAGGAACAATTTACTCGTGTCGACGGCGTACTTAACGGCAGACCTTTGGAGATTATATTAAAAAAAAAGATTACTGATGATGACTTCGATCAGTTAGGCAGTACGGTCAGCCCGTTCCAGCTGACGTGCTGGTGCGGCCCCCTCAAACACTAGACTCGGTTGCGCCGCCCGTGGTGATAGCAGCCATGGTTGTGTTGCCCTGCCCAGGTTGCACGGGTCGTTCGGCCGAATTCCGGGCTCATCAGCGCCAATCTGCTATCTAATCGCAGCAGCGGCGCTATTATTGTCCAGGCTCTGGACCAGCACAGATCTTGTTCGTCCAGTCTGCCCCGGAGAGGGATGGCCCCACCCCTAGACGCTTGCGGCGTTGACAGCCCGATTGAAAGCGAAGTTACCTTACTGCTGGGCTACGGGGTCGCTGTTATACTCTCACTTCTGACCTTCCATATTGCTGCAGACTGCCTGTTCTTGGTCTGATTCTTGTCGTATATCCTCAGACTGCTTCCCCGCCCCTGCAGCGGAGTGCCTGCTCGATCAATTCATTCTGGCCCCTGTTCCCCTCCGCACTTGGCGCAGCATCAGCGCATCTTCTGTCCAGACACATGGATTTCTCCTACTTCAACGCGCCCCAGCATCAGCCGTTCCAACCCTTCGGGTTGCATAATCCTCATGCCGGCGTTCCTCATTCCGAGGACTTTCAGACCGGTGCTCAATCTGTATGCGCTGGCCCCATCATCCCCGTCATCGCCCATGCGCAACCAGGATGGTACTGATTACCAGCTCCCAGGTTTCTTTCGATTATCACTACGGCTCCTTTGATCCGTCCTCTTTCCCTAATGTCGGGGTAGCACCGCCATACTCGCCGCCAGAGTCCTTCACGCTAAACTCGACCAACTCCACCACAAGCGCTGACGTCGCTCGCGACGATCTTCCAAAACCTGTGTCGACTGAAAATGCCGACGATCACATCGCGGATCGGAAATCAGGATCGGGTCGGAGCAGCAGTGAGGAGAAGGACACATTGACGCCCGCGCAGAGCAGGCGCAAGGCGCAAAACAGAGCAGCGTATGTGACTGATCCCAGTTTTTGCCAATGTGCTGGCTGATTGGTATTCTGACCGGTTCCCACTATCTACAGCCAGCGTGCGTTCCGTGAGCGCAAAGAACGGCATGTCCGTGAGCTCGAGCAGAAACTCAGCGATCTCCAACAGACATCCAACGACCTCTATGCCGATAATGAACGCTTGAAACGCGAACTTGCCAAGGTCTCGACCGAGAACGAAATCCTCCGTGCCACGACGCAGTCGGGTGTTGCGGTCAAGGGCCATGGAGAATCGGATCCCGGGCAGACGACCACGGGACCCATGCGGTTTTCACCGACAGACTTCTATTCCAGCGTCACAGGTGAAAAAGGGGAGCACAAAGTCGCCCATCGGATCGTCGTGAGCGAAGAGACGGGTGAGAGACTCCTCGATGCCGGGGCGACCTGGGACATGATCCAGAACCACAAGCTGTTCAAGCAAGGCTTGGTCGACATCGGAGATGTCTGCGAGAGGCTGAAGGGCTTTGTCCGATGCGACGGCCAGGGTCCGGTCTTCGAAGAAAGCCGAGTACGAAAAGCGATCGAGGAAAGCGTTGCTGGCGGGAGCGATGAACTGATATGATATGACATGGATGATACCGAACCATCTGCATATATACGGGATTTTTTCTTTTTCCGAAAAGTATTCCCTATATATATACATATCGCACTGCGACTGATAATTTCCTTTTTGGAAAAAGAAAAACTTTGAATCTTTTCCATCTACATAGGCGCTCGAGCGGGGTATTGGTCGGGGTTCCTGGAGAAATATAGCTGCATGGAACGGCTCTTATCTTGTTGTCAATTGGGAAGAGCTGTTGGACTGATTTTTCTGCTGAGTTTTTTGCTTTTTTTTTGTTATTGTTATCGTTATTGTGATTTATTTATTGCAGCATGGGCGTAAATAGGCGACATATGGTGGAAGGAAGCCTCTTTACAATATTATAGCTTCCTGATTTGGATTATTGGTGTTGACACCTTTTTTTTGTTTGTTTCTTCCTGATTTATGAAGGAAAGTGAGTGATTGTGGCTGGACGGCTGCACTGTCCTGACCTGCAAGATTCATAGTCACATATATACTTTATCTGCATTTTCTTTTAAATAAGCTTGACCATTGTCTTATTTTTCATTGCTGATCAGATCGACTGGACGTTGACCTGTCCTCCATCGATCAATAGTCGCCTTACTTTTGTACGGTACTGTGTTAAATTTCTGAACGGTGCTGGTGTGTTTGGAATGCTTGTCGATGTCGGTAGATTGTGCTCGCCTGCTTTTCGAGCTTCCCTGGACGGGGGGACTCACTAAGAGACATGGATTGTCCAGGCCCTGATGAGCCCTGGACCTTGTTACTTTGCAGTCATCGGCCTCTCTCTCGCCCAAAAATGAAATGTTCTCTCCGGAGCCAGGAATGCTGTGGCCAGCACTGCCTCTCTGACCGTCCTTCATGAAAGGTAGCACCGAGATTTGGTTCGGTGTCTTGCACTATTTATTTTAATATCATATGATCCCTCAGTCCCAATCGTCATCCTCGTCTTCCTTGTCATCGCCGGCTCGACGCTCTCCATCGCTCGACTCGGACCGTTTCTTCTTCAGGCGAATGTCGCCTTCTTTGAGAGCACCCAAATCGACAAGCATTTTTTCAATATCTGCCGTTGCTACTCAGTAATTGTCGCAAGCATGGATAAGGAGAAACAGGGATTAGTAGATATCCTCACCTTCAATTTTTGTCCTCGTACCGTTGAGCTCCCTCAAGGTAACGAGCTGTTTCCGAATTTCACCATCCTTATAAACCAAGATGGTTGGCGTATTTCGCTCCGGATACCCCTCAATGCACATATCGGCCCGTATCTCGCAGAACTTGATGTCCCCGAATTTCGCAGCCAGCTGTCTCCACATCTCCGTCATGATGCGCGACTCCACATTTCCCGCCTGAGATGACGTGAGAAGGACGAGGACAAAGGATTTGGATGACGCCTCTGTTACTTCTTTGGCGTAGTCGGTCTTCTGCAGAGGGTAGACTTGGTTGTATATACTGGTCTTTTGAAGCGTGGCCAATTCAGCTAGTCGTTTTTTCCTGACCTCGGTCAGCTTAGGTATTCTCAACACGAAGTTTTAGGCGGCTGTACCAAGGAAACGCACCGATATTGCTCGAGAAACTCCTCGTCTTCTTCGTCTTCGAGAGCGGCCAGCTCGTCCAGGTCCTTATCTTCCAGTCGGTTCTCATGCGCCTTTCGCTGCGCCTCTAGGATCGCCTCCTCGATTATTGGCGTCGGCGAGGGAGGCTTCTCCGGAAGGATACCGTGCTTGCGAAGGATGTCATTCCTGCGTGGTGTTAGCAGATATACAATCAACGAGCACATGTATGTATCATGGAGGGTGTGTACCATTCAGTATCCTCATTGGGGTTCACTGGGGGCAGATCCATCGTGGTAGGAATATGAGGCGCAAGACGGAAAGACGTCAAATCTCTATTATTTTGACAGCAACTCTCTTGTAAAGTAGTAAATGATCATGGCGATGCATCATGCATCACACACTTGTTGGCCGATGGCGGAACGCCGCTTGTTTGCACTGTTTGTCACACGTGCCCACACACGCAGCCCGGAAGGACACCTGGAGGTCGACTGGCTGGCTAGCGGCCGCGTTGGACAGAAGACACCGACGACGACGAGCAGCCTCCCGGTCTCACGACGGCCATTCTCCAGTCCCCAGCTCCTTGGACGACTGGTGAGCCACAGCGGGTTCCGTCTGGCCCTCGATCTCTTTTCTCCTTCATTGGTTCCTTGGAGAATGAAGGCGCGGTAGAGCCGTTTACACCGCCCCCCAATCCACATACCAGCTGCCCTGAATTGAGTGCCCCGAAATCTTCTCGCGCAGTCGCCTCGATCCTCCTCCCCTATATTTATACGGTTCCCCTCCGCCGCGGTTTACTGGGCGGGCCGTCATCATGAGCTACGTTAAAAAGGACGAAGATGCTGATCAGGTCATGCTCAAGCTTGACCGCACCACTGTTTTCCAAGATGGTAGGCGCTCTCTCTCTCTCCTGAACCCGAATCGCCAGTGCCTGCCCGATTCTTACCCGCTCTCCAGCGAGATTGTTCAATTCTTCGCCTATATCGCCTCGAAAATGCCGTACCCTCCTGACGAAGATCGCCGTCCTCCTGTTCACCGGCGAGAAGTTCCCGACGAACGAGGCCACGACGCTCTTCTTCGGCATCTCCAAGCTCTTCCAGAATAAGGACCCTTCGCTGCGGCAGATGGTATATTTGATTCTGAAAGAGCTGGCAAACACGGCAGAAGATGTCATTATGTCTACTAGCATCATCATGAAGGATACCTCCGTTGGCAGTGACGTTCTTTACCGAGCAAACGCCATCAGAGCGTTATGCCGCATTATCGACGTGCGCCTCTCCGCCACCCCCCCTCTACATTTAATGTCTTCAACCCACTTATGTCTCTTGAATCTATAGGCTACTACTGTTCACGGTATCGAACGCCTGATAAAGACTGCCATTGTCGACAAGACTCCGTCGGTTTCGTCCGCAGCCTTGGTATCCTCGTACCACCTCCTCCCCGTCGCGCGCGATGTAGTTCGAAGATGGCAGAGTGAAACGCAAGAGGCTGCTTCGTCGACCAAGCAATCCTCCGGGTTCCTTGGCTTCTCCACGGGTCAATCCCACGCGATTTCACAGGCGAACTACATGACCCAGTACCATGCCATCGGACTTCTATACCAGATGCGGTCGCACGATCGAATGGCCTTGGTGAAGATGGTCCAGCAGTATGGCGCAGCTGGAGCAGTCAAGAGCCCGGCGGCAGTCGTCCTGCTCGTGCGGTTGGCAGCGATGCTGGCGGAGGAGGATGCAAGCCTGAGGAAGCCCATGATGCAAATGCTTGATGGCTGGCTCCGACACAAGCATGAGATGGTCAACTTTGAGGCTGCAAAGGCTATCTGCGACATGAAGGATGTGACCGATGCAGAGGCCTCCCAGGCTGTCCATGTTCTGCAACTGTTCCTCTCCTCGCCGCGTGCAATCACCAAGTTCGCCGCGATCAGGATCCTGCACAACTTTGCGTCATTTAAACCCCACATCGTGAACCAATGCAACCCGGATATCGAGTCGCTTATCTCGAACAGCAACCGATCCATCGCCACGTTCGCCATTACCACCTTGCTCAAGACGGGCAACGAGGCTAGCGTTGATCGTCTCATGAAGCAGATTTCCGGGTTCATGGCGGATATTACGGATGAATTCAAGATTACGATCGTCGAGGCCATCCGGACCTTGTGCTTGAAGTTCCCCAGCAAGCAGGCTAGCATGCTTTCGTTCCTCAGCGGTATTCTTCGGGATGAAGGTGGTTACGAATTCAAGCGGGCTGTTGTCGAAAGCATGTTTGATCTTATTAAGTTTGTGCCTGGAAGCAAGGAAGATGGTGAGTCTTCGCCTTTTTTTTGGGAAAGTTCTCCACTACATTGAGCTAACAGAGACAAAGCTCTTGCCCATCTCTGCGAGTTTATTGAAGATTGCGAGTTTACCAAGCTTTCGGTCAGAATATTACACCTGCTTGGTGTGGAAGGCCCCAAGACCTCTCAGCCCACGAAGTATATCCGTTACATCTACAACAGAGTCGTTCTTGAGAACGCTCTTGTCCGGGCGGCTGCCGTTACGGCGTTGGCCAAGTTTGGCGTCGGCCAGAAGGACCCGGAAGTCAAGCGGAGTGTTGCTGTTTTGCTCACACGGTGTCTGGATGATACGGACGATGAAGTCCGGGATCGTGCTGCTCTCAACCTCCGATTGATGAATGAAGAGGACGAATTTGCCAACCGGTTCGTGAAGAATGGTGAGTTTTAACTGCCTGCGCTACCTGCGATAGGAGGCTAATAGCTTCTTTAGACTCGATGTACTCTTTGTCCACATTCGAGCATCAGCTGGTCATGTATGTGACTGCTACGGATAAAGAAACATTCGCGACTCCTTTCGATATCTCTTCGATTCCTGTTGTCTCCCACGAGCAGGCCCTGGCGGAGGAAAGGACCAAGAAGCTCACGTCCGCCACGCCGACGCTCAAGGCTCCATCCACCGGCCCGCCGAAGGCCCAAGCCAACGGGGCTGCAGAGGGAGCAGCCACGGCGGCAGCGGCGACCCAGAAATATGCAGAGCAGCTTGCGCGCATCCCCGAGCTCAAGGAGTATGGCACGTTGCTCAAGTCATCCTCTCCTGTTGAGCTCACTGAGAGCGAAACGGAGTACGTTGTCAGTGCCGTCAAGCACATCTTCAAAGAGCACATTGTCTTGCAGTACGACATCAAGAATACGCTTCCGGACACCGTCCTCGAAGAGGTGTCGGTGGTGGCAACGCCTACGGATGAAGAAGCGGCCCTCGAGGAAGACTTCATCGTTCCTTGTCCCAAATTGGCTACGAATGAGCCCGGGATCGTCTACGTTGCATTTAAGAAGCTGGGCGGCGAGCATAGTTTCCCTACCACTTCGTTCACGAACAATCTCAAGTTCACCAGCAAAGAAATCGACCCCACAACTGGTGAACCCGAGGAGAATGGTTATGAGGATGAATACCAGGTTGAAGATCTTGAGCTTACTGGCAGTGACTATGTCATTCCCAACTTTGCCGGCAGCTTCGACCATGTGTGGGAGCAGACCGGCGCCAATGGCGAAGAAGTTAGCGAGACGTTCCAGCTGAGCAATGTGAAGAGTATTGCAGGTAAGCTGATAGCCTTTGGAGAATGGCGAGAACGAATGGTGCTAACCCTGTATGCAGATGCTACCGAGCAGCTCACCGCTGCGCTCTCTCTACAGCCACTCGAGGGTACTGACGTTGCGCTTAGCAATAGCACGCATACGCTCAAGCTCTACGGCAAGACCGTCTCGGGAGGCAGAGTGGCGGCCCTGGTCAAGATGGCCTATTCGGCCAGGACCGGTGTCACCACGAAAGTCACGGTCCGAGCGGAGGAGGAGGGCTTTGCAGCTGCTATTGTGGCGTCCGTGACCTAAGAGTCCTGCTTGTAGATAGATATTTAGGGGGCGGCAGATGGGAGATTTGGATGGAGTCCATGAAAACTTTCAACTTTCTCGTTATATCAGTGTATTGAGGGCGGCTGGTCCCACAAAACTAAAAAGCGTTGGTTGACATGTCGAGAGACCGTCGTTGCCGCGCCTTTTTTCTTTTCCCCATGTAGGTGTTGATTGTCTGTCTGTCTGTTTGTCTTAGATACGAGTTTTCTTTCTCTTTCTCTTTCTCTAGGCGCCAAAACCTTATGCTTTGGTTCTTTTTTTTTATAGTTAGTTGACCTTGATCATATCATAATGAGCCTGAGCCTCAGCCTCAGCTGATTATTTCCTGTGTGCTTGCTTTTTTCTAGAAAAATTTTCTAGATAGGTTCAGAGAGAGAGATTGGAAGGAAGTCCTTTTTCTGTTTGAATATTCTATTCTCTCTATTTACAATATTGACATTGGAAAAAAAAAGAAAAGACAAATATGTACATTCATGCGAAGGCTTCTCTATTATCGTATTTTCAGTCGTCGTCTATACAGTAAACCCCGACTCCCCATTCCTCCGTATCCTCCGACATAGGGAGCTTCCGTTTTTCGGCGCGCTCAGTCAGCGCATCGTCCAACTCATCTGGCAGCAACTCCCCGAGGAACATGTCATGGACGCCGACTGCGCGCAGATTGGCGAGCGCGTTGTCCAGCGTGTCGATCAGCGACTGCCACTCGAACTCGCGGGCATCGCCCGTGTGCGAGAACGACAGCTCGAGCACCTCCAGCGCCAGCGGCTGCTGCGCCCGCTGCTGGTAGTAGCCGCGGCGGAGCGTGTCGAAAAAGTCGTCGAAGACGAGATCCCCCGGGACGCTGAGGAAGACAAGGTTCGGGAGGTAGCTGAGGATGACCTGGATCGACTCCGTCTGCAGCCCGCGGTTGAACGTCGAGACGGTGAGCCGGCGGAGAGAGCGGCCCAGCTGCGGATTCGCGACGAGGCGGCGCATCGCGTGGAAGGACAGGTCAGCGCAGTTCTTCAGCGTCAGGCGCGTGAGGTTTTCTGGCCACAGGAAGGACTGCATGTCGTCGGCGAATTTGCCGCTGACCTGCAGGCGCTGCAGTTTCGGGGGCCATGGCAGACGGTCCGGGTCGGTCAGGGTGGTGAATCGAGGCAGGCGCAGAGAGGTCAACTTCGGAAGCTGGCTGATCGCCTTCTTGAGGCTGGGGAAGGGGATCGTTTCG